ATTAAAGAACTGTTCTTGTTAATTTGATGAAAACATTTTAAATATCCAGTGCACTCACATCAGAATAACTTTTAGATTTGTTGTTAGAATAATCGATTAATCGAAAAAATAATCGTTAGATTAATCGATTAGAAAATAATCGTTTGGTACAGCACTAAACTATAGTAAATTTTTTTGAGTCCAGCAGGTAGTCAGCTGTAGATGAATATCTTTGACTGTGACTTTAAATTCGGACACTAGAATAACTTCCTGTACAGAGATAGATTAATAAAGAAGACTTCTGAATCACTTTCATTCTATTACACATGAATGGTTGTGTGCATATAAGAGAAAAAAAAACAAAGATGAGGAGAATAATTTTTTTTCTTTCAACAAAATAAAAGCAGAAATCAAAATTATTTTGGTTTCGTCTCCGTTAAAAGCACTTGGACAAAAAACACGAAAGTGTTTTTTTAAGTAACAATTTTAAAATCATTCCGTGTTTAATGATGAAAAAGTAAAACTCTGATCTCAATCTTACCAAGGAAAAAAATAAAAATTTAGAAAACTTCTAACAAATCACGAGCTTGTTGCTGCTCTCTCAGCACACCCTCCTTTACATCTTTTTTTTTTCACAACCCGCGAGCGCGTCTTCCTGACTCAACAATGCGGCTGACTCATTTCATGCATGGAATCGCTCTGGAGCCTGTAATTAAAGATCACAGGGCCCACACATCTCCAGTCAATGAATGCTAATAGGAGGGCAGGGTTTGTCCACAACTCCTACCCTCCACATTACAGAAATCATTAAACGAATCATTTAACATTAAAACATCAGTCATCTGAATTGATTTCTGAACATAAAGATCCCCTGAGCATATTATCATCACATGTGACCCACACAGATTTACCCCCCAATAAATGGAAACTCTGGATGACTGGTTTAACTATTTAAACCCAAATGTAAACAAAAACTTCATGCAGTTACTTTTGTCACACACTCATTTATCTACAATGAAACCCAGTAAAAATGTCAAATGTTTAAATTAAGAAATGTTTTGGTGCCATCAAAATAACCTGTAATAGTACAAGGGATTAAAGATTAACAGGTGAACACTTACTTTTCTGACAGTTGTTCTGTGACCAGCATCGTCCTCGAAAGTGGCCGTTGATGGCGGTCTGAATGCAGACGGTCTGACCCTGCGCCGTGCCAGGACACACATCTCCACACTCCCGCTCGTTCTTATTGGCCACGATGTAGTTGTCCTCCACCGAGTCCAGGATCTTGGACCAGTCCAGGGTGGCCAGGTAGCACAGGTCTGGATTCTTCTCTATCCTCACGGCGCCCCGGGTTATGTTCATGAGGCTGTGCAGGCCCATCTCCTTCAGCTGCAGCATCTCATAGATCACCAGAGCGTAGTTGAAGAAGAGGTTGTTGCCGCGGATCACCGTCAGGTTGGGGAAGAGGTCGCTGAGGGTCTCCAGGCCGTAGACCCTGAACAGCAGCACGTAGTCGGTCACCACTCTCAGCTTGGGGTAGCTGAGGCCCCGGAAATCCTCGGTCTTGGTCTTGAACATGAGCAGAATCTTCAGGTGGCCCTCGATGATGGTGCAGTTCTCCAGAGACTGGAGGTTGGTCACATTGTTGCGGATGTCTTTACTCTGGCAAACTGCAGAAAGAACGAAAAATTTGGAAAAAAAGAAAAGTTAGAAAAATGTCCTGCTTCTAGAAAATAAAATCTGAGCATTTCATTGTTTAAAATGGGACTAAACTATTAGTTATAAATACAATAAACTAGGGGTGCACCGACTGCAGTTTTCTGGCCGATCACTGATCCTGCAGATTCCATTTTTGACAGATACTGTTTTATTTAAATAAAGGACACTGCTCGATGTTATAAAGTCAAAATACACCTTCAATGTTCCTCTCCTATTTTATTTAAAAAAAACATTGAACAATACCCTTGAAACAATACAAACTCGTTTTAACTGGACATTAGGTAGAGCTCACAGCAGAGCAAAAGGCGATAGTGGCTGATTTTCGTAGATAAGAGTCAATTTTTTCTACCGATCTCATCTAAGTATAGGCCAATCTCCAAAAATTAAGGAAAGTGGTGCACACCTACAATAAACAAACTGCTTCAAAATTCACCAAGGTAATAAAACAGGATATAAACTTATTAAAGCACTAAGTAATTTGCTTTAAAGAGAACAGAGCCATTCATAAAGATCCCTCACTCATTTCCCATTTCACAACGCTGGTGGCTGCAAGTTCCCTCTTTATTCTGTTCTACCAGCACACACACGCGCACACACGCACACACACACACACACACACACACACACACACACACACACACAC